TTGTTTAATTTAGTCTGTGAGATGTTAAGTTTGTTACTACTGAGGACATTAAGATGGGCTCAATGGGTTTCATATCGTCAGTCCTAATAAGTTGTTCCTACTGTATAATTTGCAGTCTTCCGATGACCTGCTAATTTTTATGTGGTGCTTTGGAAGGGCATCTGAAGAATGTGAAGAGAGTATTGACTATTTTTTAATTGTGTTTGGGGCTTCAACTAAATTAGGCTAAGAGAAAAAGTTTTGGTATTAAAGTTGATGAAACCTACATCAAAGAGTGAGCGACTTCGATTGGTTGTTCGGTTGGACTCTTTCTAACAGAGTATCTTGGACTTCCCCTTGGTTCGATAAAAAATTCAATTACTTTGTGGGAACCTATAATCCAGAGATGTTACCTGAATTTGGCGTGTTGGAAAGTAAAAAAATGTTCTTGTGCAGGGAGGGTTGTGATGGTGAAGTCGATTTTAAGCGCTTTACCAATTTATTTTTTGTCGATGTTTAGAATGTCGAATAAGGTTCTGAGAAAACTAAATTCTATTTTGGAAAACTTCTTATGGGGGGATCATCTCAGAAAAATCATTTCAATTGGGTTAAATGGCTGACTGTGTGTAGACCTAGTTCAAGGGGGTTTGGGTCTCATTAATTTAAACCTCATGAATAGGGTTCTCTTAGAGAAGTGGGCATGGAAGTTTTCTTCGGAAAAAGAGTATTGGTGGAAGAATTTGGTGTGTTACAAGTATAAATTGTATAATAGAACAATTTTTATAGACAATGTGGTACCCTATAAGTCATCTTGGATTTGGAGGGGAGTAATTAATAACTGATGGGAGAATGAAGCTTTTGGTCACTATTTTTGCAATCATTTTCAAATACAAGTTAGAAAGGGAAATGATATTTTGTTTTGGTATGAAAGGTGGATTTACAATGTCCCTCTTAGGTTAAAGTTTTCCTAGGTTGTTTTCCCTTTTCGTTAATAAATAAGGAAAAATCTCAGAGTTTGGTTTTTTTAATATAGGGGGTTGGTGTTGGGATATTCACTTGAGAAGGAATTTATTGGAGTGGGAAATCGAGCAGTGGGTTGAGCTTTTATCGTTATTAAGTAATGTTAGTATTCAGAATGATGCGAATGATCAATGTGTATAGACGAGGTATAAGGAGGGCACTTATTCAATCAAATCATGCATCAAATTACTGTCAAGAGGGTCTGTTGTGGATTCAATTTGGATGAGGCTGGTTTGGATCGGTTATGCTACCCCAAGAGCGGAGGCGTTTATGTGGCAGATTTTGCATCAACAATTGGCTATTAAATCTGAACTTATCAAGCGTGGTGGGATATATAACATTTTATGCCCTCTTTGTAGTTTGCATCAAGAGATGGTTTTTTCATCTGTTTTTTCTTGTTCTATTGTGTGCGACTTAAGGATGAGTTTCTTAAGGTTATGGAATTTAACCTCTGTCCTTCCAGAGAATCCTAATGCCTTCTTATCTTCTTGGGAAAGCCTAGTTCCTAAGTCTATAATTTGGAATTTTATTCCGGGAGCTATCTTGTCGTCAGTATGGAAGTTTCAAAACCAATTGTTTTTTGAGAAATGAAGTCTTAATCTTACACATTTGTTCTTTATTTCTAGATATAGAGTGACTGCGTGGTTTTCGACAAAATTTCCTAATTTTCCAGTTCTCTTAAATTTCCATGTTGGTGTTTTGAAGTTGGTTGATTCAAGTAATCCCTCCATGAAGGTAAGCTCTTCATCGGTCTCGTAGAGTCCCACAACCCCGCGTTTCTTTAAAACCAATATGGATAAGGCAGTGAGAAGTGATGGGAAAAGCAGTGGAATTGGTGGAATACTTAGAGATGAAGAGAGCAAGCTATTGGGTTCCTTCTCGACATCTATTGGTCCAAGTCCTCCTATTTTAGCTGAGTTAAAGGTCATTCAAGCTGGTTTAGCTATGTTTATAGAGTTAGAATGGTGTGGAAAAGGTCAGTTAATTATAGAGACTGATTCTGCAATTGCAGTGAAGTAAATTAAGACTCCAGGAGTGTGCCTTGCCGTGTTTTTCTAGCTAGTTAAGGAAATTATCAGTGTTATATTGAAGCATATTGTTATTATTAATTTTGTAAAAAGGATTGTGAATTGGGAGGCTGCTAGTTTGGCTAAGTCGGGTTTAGGGTAATTTTTTTGTAACTTTTTGTTTGGATGATGTGTTTGTATATAGGATTGAGGTTAAGTTGGTGGTGAAGTTTGTAATATCATGTTGTTTTATGAGGTGTAATTTCTTTTGGCAATAAAATTTTGTGGCACTCTTTTCCTCCTTCCAATGTCCGCTGTGATACTTATGTAGCGCGGCAGTTATGAAGGGAATTTTTAACGAGGCCTCATTTCTTATAGAAAAAAAGCAAGGCCTTGAGTCCTAAACATATGGTTCTTTCTATTTATGAGAAGGAATATCTAGCAATTCTTTTGGTAGTTTCCAAATAGAGGCATTACTTGGAATGTGGCCCCTTTATGATAAAGATAGATCATGAACCATTGAAGTATTTTCTCGAACAGAAAATAATGAAAATAATTCAAAAACGAGGTTTGACTAAGTTATTGGGGTTGGACTACACAATACTCTATCGAAAAGGACACACAAACGTGGTGGCAGATGCCCTGTCAAGGCAATATGATAACAAGGAGAATACAATCATATGACTGGTACAGTTTTTAATTCCGGCTTGGGTTAGTGGGATTGAGCAGAGTTATGAATAAGATACCTATACTAAAGAGTACATTCGAGCATTAATGGTTAAGGATGTTGTGAATCCTAAATGGAAATATTCAAAGGGGATTTTACGATACAATGACAGAGTCTATGTGGGTGATAATGGTGATCAAAGGCTAAAAATTCTTCAAGCCCTATATGATTCACCACAGGGAGGGCATTCGAGTATTCAAGCCACTTACCAACGGGTGAAATCCAATTTTTATTGGCCTAAGCTGAAATCAATTGTCACCAAACATGTTCAAAATTGTGAAGTTTACCAACGCACCAAGGTGGAACATGTGGCAAAGTCGGGATTGTTACAACCTCTTTCGATCCTCCACATCTTGGGAGGTAATTACTATGGATTTTATTGGAGGGTTACCCGTTTCTTTAAGGAATAATTGCAATTTAGTAGTTGTTGATAAACTGACCAAATATGCCCATTTTATTGGGTATCTCGCCCCTATACTGTGATGGATGTTGCTAATCTCTATTTAGACCATGTATATAAACTTCATGGTCAATCTAAAATGGCCATTTCGGATCGCAATAAAACCTTCACCAGCTTTTTTGGAAAGAACTGATGAGGTAGTTGGACATTAATACTCTATTTAGCATGATCTACCATCCAGAAATACGTGTTTAAAGCGAGATAGTTAATTAATGTCTTGAACAATATTTACGGGGTTTGTGTTTTTTTAAAGCCTACACATTAGGCAAAATGGCTACCACATGTTGAATGGTGGTACAACACAAATTATCTTTCAGTATTAAAGATAACCTCTTTTGAGGCACTTTATGGTTACAAACCTACTACGATACTATGGTGTGTTGATTTGAATGTGCAAAGTGTCCAAACATGGTTATAAGATCGAGATCAAGTTCAAAAAATAGCTCGGGATCAATTACAATAGGCACATAACCCTATGAAAAAATAGTCAAATAAACATCACAGCGAAAGACAATTTTATGTTGGAGATTATGTGTACCTAAAATTGTAGCCCTATAGACAGACTACAGTCGCACTTAGAAAGAATTTAAAGCTAACCGCTTGTTTCTATGACCCCTATAAAATTACAGAAAGGATTGGTGCAGTTAAATACAAACTCACAATACCCGATACGACTCGCATTCACCCCCGTCTTCAATGTAAGTTTGTCAAAAAAGAAAGTTGCGGAGTAGTCGGTGGCATCTTCTGATCCTCCTCAAGTGATGGATAATGGATAGTTGAAGATATTTCCTGAGAAAATTTTGGGCAAACATATAGTAAAGCGAGATAATCGGGTTGTTTCACAGTTACTTGTAAGATGGACAAATTTGGGGGCAAAAATGATAACTGGGATGATTTAACGTTTCTACGAGCTCAATTTCCTTCATTTGACCCTTGGGTACAAGGCTTTACTCGAGGAGGGGGTATTGTCATGGACAGAGAAGAAGATCAAGACGAAGGAATTAGGATCGAAGAAAGGGAATAGGAAAAGGAAAAAAGGGGATTAGGGATTTTTAAGAGAAAAACACGATGAATTAAGGATTTCTGATTTTGTGGCAGAATTACGTGAAAAGGGGGAAATGTCACGTGAGATGCAAGTGGGTCATGAGGAAATTAAAGAAGCCGGCCCATGTTTTATTAACGGCCCAGGTTTTATTAATAGCCCAACAAAAGATGATTTGGTTGCCAAGGGATAAGTTTGTTATGCCTTTGTTCACCTGTCAAAATGAGACTAGTCATAGTACATTGTAAGCAAATAAAAACTGCGTACTGAAGGAAGGAAAATTTAAGAAATGAATGAATGCAAACACATTTTCTGTAATTCCTTTCTTTTCTCTTCTCTTGTAATTTTCCCTATTTCTCTTCAATTCACTTTTTACCCATTACACATTTATACTGTTAATCTCAATTGTCTATTTTTATTCATCCAACAATCCTAAATTTATGTAAAACAAAAAAATTTACACTTGTGGTTGGATCCTATCCATATATATATATATATATATATATGCACGTGTTGGACATGAATATTTCAAGAAAATTGAGCTGGAGTAAGATAGTTACTATTTTGGAAAATATTATGCAAATGGCAATGAATTGGTGGGCCCGTTGCCCTTGTGTATAGTTATTGCATAAGGTACATTAGTGAAATAGGATGCTGTTTTCTCTTGCACTAGGCTGCATTCAGGGACAATGTGAACTACAATGCATATTATAGACCTAATAAAATCATAACTCATATTATAGACCAAATAATCACAACTCTAATGTTCTAATTCTGATTTTCCTTTTTGGGCATTGCTGTTGCACTAAAGTGTGGAGCGATTAAGGCACAATTCGACAGTACGGTAAGTTCAACTTGTCTAAAAACAAGTCTTGCGGTTTGACATTACACTCCAGTACTATACTTTGGATTGATTCAACATCAAGCTACATTTTCTATATTAATCCAATTCGGTAAAGGTGTTTCTTCAGGTCGAGTTAGTTTTTAGCTAGAGCCAATAAGTAGCAAATTGTTTAACCCAGTTGAATTGATGATTGAAGGTGGATATGTAGATAATGTTTTAATCATTTTTCAAATCACTAAGCTAATCATTGGCTACTCACAGTTGCTTTCCCAATATTATCTGCCATGACCATCCCAACTCATGGGTGGTTTTGTTGTGAAGTAGCCTAATTTAAAGCTAATCTAAAATGTTATCATGTTCAACTTAAAAAAGTTATATAATTTATAATATTTTCAGTTGTAATCGAAAAGTTATATTGTGGTGGTTTAGGACTTACAACCGAAAATATTATGAAGAGTGTAAAATTTTCGATTGCAACCTGTCCAACCTAAAAAGTTAATCTCTTGATAAGTTTTTTTATTGCAATAGATTTCTGTCCATTTTTAACCTTATATTAACAAGTTATATTTTAGAATTTCCACCCAACTCAATTAAACCCTTATAAAATAATGCGATAGGTAGTAATAAAAAGTATTATTTTGAATATTTTAATTATCGATAAATGATTACTTCATTCATTACTTTATAAAGAATTTCATGTCCTTAATTCCTATATTTATGTATCCTCCTTTCTGAAGTGATGGGAATCTCTAGTATCCTCCCTCTGCTATGGACTCTTCTCTTCTACTAGAAGCGATAAGTAGAAAGGTTATTATTTTTCCTTTGAAATAAATGAACTTAGATGCTTATAAATGAGAAGCCCTACATAGAGACATCAAATAATATTGACATAGAATCTAGAAGTTAGTGTCACGTCTGGTGTGTACCCTGGAAAATCAAAATGAGGTTGAATTGGGATAAAATAGATGCTTCATTTACCAACGGGATTGGTTCAAGTGGCAAACACTTTGATATCGATGAAGTAAGATTTCAGGTTCAAGTCCTTGTGTATCAAAAAAATATCAGATGCCCAGATTGGTACATATTAGTCAAAGCAAAGCCTTGAGACTGGAGGGCAATAATAAAAAAGGATAGATGCTTCTTTTGATAAGAGTTCAAATGAAAAGGCAAACTTTTTGCTTATATTTGTTAGGCTCTCAACTCAAGGATTAATTTAACAAAATGTACATTGATGCAAAATCCATTAACTGATTATTGAAGATTTAGTATACTGTATTGTATCTTGTCAATTTCCACCTCATGGATCAAGTCTTTTATAAATTCTGGTTCCCACAGGTGGGCACACATCCTTCGGCTGCTGAGAAGTTTGTGACCATGCGATCTGTTTCAAGGCGTATCACCGTTGGTGGGAAACCAAAGACAAATCTGTAGACTATGTATTCAGTCCGGTTTATACAGAAACAAGATTTTATTACATAAGGTGATATATGGTAGGGTAAAGGTTGTAATTTGTGTCATCTTTATTCACGATAAAGGGCGTATTTTGTGTTGTATTAGTTGAAATAGTGGCATCAGCAATGGATTTGTACTCATCAGTGGAGTAAAATTATTTGGACTGTATAAATTTTAAAAAGTCGTATCCCGATGCGCTTCAAATACTGGTATTTTAAAAGAAATAATGAAGAGTCAATGACGTAAATTGACTGTCATTTTAACTTGGATTTGTTTGTAGGCGCAATTAGCAATCTGAATAAACACATTGTTTAATGCATCTAATGCCCCCGAGAAAGGAAAATAAATAAATTTTTTATATCTAACCAAATCTTCGTCTATAAAGAAATAAAGATCTCCAGAAAATCACACCCTTTGAGAAGAGCTATTAAACGTTTTTTTTCTGGGATATTACACATAAGTGTCAGCAAAACTTGACTCAAAAATAGATTTTTTTAATTTCGAGTTATTCGAGTCAACTCGAATTATAAATTCTCTTTTTCGAGTTCGAGTCAAGTTGAAATCTTGAATTTTCGAGTTACTCAGATTGAAAATTTAACTCGATACTTTGATAGTTTTACGAATTATTCCCTGATTTCATTATTTCTTCAATTACTCCATTTTAAGTTCATTTTTTGTACCAAATTTGAATCACATGCTCTTAAACCATAGTAGAATACATGTGTACTTTCAATTCCTCTCTTTTATAACAATTTTTTACTTTTCAATTTAGTCCTTCAATTTTTCATAATCTCCTTATTTCTTCAATTTTCATTTATTTTAACTCCCTTTTTTACCAAATTTGAGCCACATACTCCTAAACCATAGTAGAATACATGTGTACTTTCAATTCCTCTTTTTGATAATTTTTTTTTTATTTTTCAATTTAGTCCATCAATTTTTCATAATATCCTTATTCTTTCAATTTGTGATTTATTTTAAGTCACTTTTTTTTACCAAATTTGAACCACATGCTGATATACCACAATAGAATACCTATGTAACTTTAATTATTATTTTTAACTAAAGATATACTATCTTTTTTATATAGTCCCTATACTTTGCAATTTACTCAATTTGGTCTTTTGACTATAATTGTTTGCAAATTCTTTTTTCTCATCAATTCCTTGACTCAGTTATACTTTCATCAATATTTTACCCACAAAATACTTTCTTTAAAATATAATATTATGAATATATTTCATAATTTTAGATTCTATTTGATATATAATATGAAAGAATAATATATATATATATATTATGGTTAGATAAAGTCAAAAAATTGGAACAAATCATTTCCATAATAATATAAATAATTATAATAAAATTAGTACAAAAACTGGAATAACTCGACTCGAAAAAAATCAAGTTAAGTTTGAAATTGTTTGACTCGACTCGGCTCAATCGAATGCTCACCCCAAATTACACCATATTTGAAATCATTCTTCACAGATTTGTTCTTCGAAATCCTTACCCTTCAATTTTTGTCGAGCTTTTTTATAACAAAATTTGGTAGTTGATAGCTTATCTTTACAATTTTCCAATCTATTAGTAGATATGATCTTATTTTTGAGACTATTTATTTTTATTAATCTAGAGTAAGTACAAGGCAGTATCTATTCAAAGATAACAATTTGTTGTTGAATGCTCACACTCCTGTCATTTTTGGTGTTTGAACTCGGGACCTCAAAGAATAACAACAATTCTTTTACCACAGAGGTTGCACGGTTCGTCGTTAGATTTTATACTAGTTATCATACAATCGATGTATTTATATTTTGAAGAAAGACTAGAGAAGAGATATCTTGTAACACCCTAAACCTGATTGGGCATAAAGTGCCACACTAGGATACCGTGACAACCCCTGATTTTCAAAACATGTTAATTTTCCTTTCAAACATGTTGAATAATATCATAAATAAAATATAATTAATTGCTATAAAAACATTTTATAAACCGAAGCTTCGTGACTCAAAATTTAAAACCAAAATAATACAAACTATTTTCTTATAAATTTGATTACATAAGTAAGGTCCTGTAAATACACATGCCCTCTAAAACTACAATACAATGCTCTGAAGAAGATGCAGGAAGTCTGCAGCGACATTGTTCCACGAAAGCTACTGACCTACCAACAGAAAACATCTGAAGGCTGAGCTTACAAAGCCAATAGTATAATTGCTAATCTAGAACATCATAAGAATTCTATAAATATAAGCATTCTGAAGACATGGTACTAAGCAGTAGGTATATGCATGATACAAATCAAGTGCTACCTACTTAAGGCTTTACCATTCTATCACTGGCGTAGGGGTCTCACGCTTCCTTTAATCCTTTGCTAAGAGCCTCGCCATGAGTACACCTCTAAAGGGCCTCTAACCCCAATAAATGTAACTGTTACACATTATCTATATATGACACTGACTCTGCTATACTAATATCTAGTATCACACAACATCATATACTAGCCTATTGACAGGGGTACCTGTATCACATAGAGTCCGTAAGGTTCTCTCTAAGCTGTGGGATGATCTTCTGGTATCACTTAGCATAATGTAGACCATCGAGAAGGAATCTCGATATCATATAGCATCGAATATTCCCACTCAACTGATGTGTTGGCTTGGTTTCACACATCATCAAGCCAAACTTTTCTGATAACTGGGTTTTGGACTGGTGAAACTACACATGCATACCTAAGGCACAAAGGCCACACAATACTAACATTGTTAACCCACACCTCGCAAGTGTTCGGGCCTCGTAGCCTAGCTAGTTCCTGAATTACCTCACGCACTGATAATACTCCACTAGGGTAATTATGTTAACTTGGTTATACCGTGGTATAGCTGGACACACTAAAGTGAGGTCAACCCCTCACTATCTACTATCCCGCACGTCCTCTCATCTAGAAAATTAGGATGGGGTTTATTATTCTGTTACTATTGTTAGTTATTAAGCAATTTTATTTGGTCATTTAATACTTAGGGCATATTAGTCACTCTTCCTCAAGAGAAGTCTCTATGTGTTCCGTGATTCTACGACGATTATTGGGTTTGTTGATCACTGGTTATACTATTCGCTAGCCCAATACCTGTCTCAGGGACAACTTGAGTAGCAACACTCTAGTCGCTTTTATTGAACTTTCTTTCAATACTTATTAAACTGAAAGGGACGACTTACCCCTCTTGGTTTCACTAACTTTCTCGAAGCTCACGATTTTTTCTATTACTGATTCTGACTTATTCCTGATACTGTTTGTCAGTACATCTTCTACAATGATCCTCATCCTTAATAATCTGTATACAACCTTGACTGAAGATATTTTGACGTAATACACTTAATATGGTTACATTTGTTGTAATCTGCTCCTATGAGTGTTTATAGGTATGTTTGGTCACTTATGTCCCTCACGGGCTTTACTATTATGGATTATTCTTAGTTCTTACGAGCCTTAATCAGGTCAAAATTGACCATCCCAATTGAGTGGTATCGATACCTCTATGAGTATTGGTACCAAAAATGCATTCTGTTTATGAAATTAAGGCTCATTATCGATATTGGCAGTATCTATACTCAAACTCAAAAATGGTTTATTTAGGCTCGAGAAACACCCAAAATCATCCTAAATGATTTGGGTTGTTTTCTAATCTTATTCTAAAGCTTTAGTAAGTTGTTTAGGGTCCTAAGGTGTTATGAAAACACATTATTAGCATGTAAAATGTGATTTTCTTAAGAATTCAAAAGAAAACCCTAAAATGCTCAAACCATAAATCCTAATAAAATATTTAAATTTATGAGATCATAATACTCCAATGGATTAAAAATACACTACCTTTATGTTTGAGTCCTAAATAAAGCCTATTACTTAGCTAAACTCATTTCTTTGATGATTTTCGATGAAAACGCCCACTTTTCTTTAGCTAGAATTAAAACAAGACTTCAATTCATTAAACCAAAGTTGTTAGATGAATTTAGAATGAAAATGGAGCATGAAAAAGGCTTAATCTCTCACCTTTGGCTTTAAACCTTGGAAATGAAGAAGAAGTAGTAGAAGGAAATATGAAGAAATGGAGGGGAAAATGATATAAAAGAAACAAATAGGCTCATATTTTTTTAAAAAATAGGAAAATTACACAATTGGTAATTCCTTATTGATAACTCTGCAAAAAAACTATATTTTAGGTCTTTTTACTCAAGTTATTGATTGTCTAAAAGCCATTGACATAGCCTTTTAGTATCATATAGTTGCATTTAGGACATTTCTGCATTTGGTGAATAAGTTTTGCCTATGTAAAGTTTATTTGATTAAACTGATGCTGCTTATGAGAAGGGTTATGTGTTGGTTCTGATGATGCAGGTGATAGGAAACGACCGGGGAAGAATTTATTTAGCGAGACAAATTTTATGCTAGGGTCAAAGGAACTGAAGACGATCACCGTGAGGAATAACTTTTGCTACGACAATTTTTATTTTGCAAGCCTGATGCAGTACGAGACAAAATTGTTGATGTCACGTAGCCAGTTGTCTAATATACCTTACATGAACCCCTATCCCTGTTACTAATTTGGTTAGCTTGTTTTCACAAATTAGTAATGAATTAAAGGGCAATTTGGGGAATTTTAAGGGAACTAAACCCTAAAAATTCACTTCTATAATAGGACATGTTGCTCATAAGGAGTATATCCTAAAACAAAGGCTTTTAGAAAGGTAGTTGCAACACCTCTTTTCTACTGTTTCTCCTCTCGTCTCTCCTTGGTTCCCTCCATAGCAAATCCAACTCAAGTGCTTCGTTAGAAGTCTGATTGTATGAGGTTTCCAGTCTATTTCTAGAGTTATGACAATTTTAGTCTTAGTAACTTTTCTTTGTTTGCTATTGTATATTTTTCTTGCCACAACAAAATTTATCTGTTTACTTCACTTCAAACTTTTCTTGCCTCGACAAACTTTTTCCATCTGTTCATACCATTTGTCACTACATATTTTCCTTGTTTATTTCATTAGACTTAGATACTTAGGATTAGTTAGTGACACCTATTCCTAGTTGTAGTAATATTTTAAAAGCCCTTCTAATCTATGTGGAGACGATACTTACACACTAATATATTACTTGCATCGTTTTGTATACTTGCACATGTTTACGTGCCATAACACTATATATTTACATGCGAACAAGATTTTGGCGCCCCTGCTAGGGATTTGCAATTGGTGTTTTTAAAAGTTTTGTTAGAGCATTATCTTGTTTCTTTATTATAAATCACTATTTTTGTTTACCCTTTTCAGTTGTTGTATTGTTGCATGACTTGTAGAAGTCCCAAGGAACCATTATGTCATTTTGAACCTGAGATCAAAAAGTTTTTTATCAAAAAGGATTTGTTCAAGATGCTCAAAGAACTATATATGAAGTTCAAAATAAAGTGGAGGAACCTAAAGATTAAATGTTGCATAAAATAAAAATGCAAAGAATGCTGAACATGAACTATTATAGATCACTTAGCTCCCACCTTGGACGACCTAAAACCTGTTATTGTAGCTCACAAGATTCAGGAAACTCACTTCGAGCTCAAATCAATTATGTTCGACATGTTAGACTTGATTGGACAGTTTGGTGGTGCTCCTCATGAGGATGTAAGGCAACATGTTTGAGCATATTTGGAGGTATGTAACTCTTTTGACAACAAGGTGTGCATTAAGATTTGTTGAAATTGAAGTTATTTCCCTATTCTTTGAAAGATCACGCCAGTGCATGGCTTAATGGAGACCTTCTTGCTTGATAAGGTCTTGGTTAGACTTATCTAAAACTTTTTTCCTATGAAATAATCCACCCACTATTAACAACCATCTTAGGAATGCCATAACATCTTTTCGCCAAGGTGATGAAGAGTCTTTGTATGAGTGCTAGGACCAATATAAAATTTTGATTCGCAAGTGCCCCAATCATGGATTCCACGATAGGACTCAATTTGTATATTCTACAATGGATTCATCACACCCACTCGCATGATGTTGGATGCCTCGGCGAATGGTAATCTACTTGACAAATCACCTAAGGAAGCCTTTGATATCCTTGATAGGATAGCCAACAACGATTATCAATTCATGTCTACAATGCTTGGAATTATAAAGAAAGTGTCTGGGCATTTGAACTTGACTCCAAGGATTCAGTGTCTGCCCAACTGTCAACCATTACTAATATGTTAAAAAATCTTCAATGTTCCAGTGAGGTGAAAGAAGTCAAGGTAACTAGCTCAGCATGCATTTCTTTTCCATGGCAACCATCATGAAAGTGAATGCCCAAAAAATCAGGAGTTTGTTAATTTCATGGGCAATTTCCCTAGAAGCAACAACAACCCCTACTCTAGCACCTACAATCTTGGATGGCGACAACATCCAAATTTTTCATGGAGTAATCAAATTACCAACAAAAACCATGCAGGAAACCTTAACTGGCCACATCAAAATATTTCTAAACCTCAAACTTTTCAGCATCAACAGATGCCTTGGCAAAATATTAACAAGGGCTTAATATCTTTATCAAATTCTAACTCCCTCGAAACTTCACAGCAAGAATTCATGGCCTCAACAAAGGCCTTGCTGCATGAACACTCTTCAATAATCAAGAACCAAGACACTCTGTTGCAAAGCCAAATAGCTTTATTGCAAAGTCATAGCTCATCTTTGAAAGCGTTGGAGAACCAAGTGGGCCAAATTACCATGGCATTACATTCTGGCCCCAAGGAAGCCTCCCTAATGATACTGAGGTCACTAAGCCTCGTGAAAAGGAGCAATATAGTGCACTTATACGGAGGATTGGTACCCAAATTAATCTGGAAGATAAGTTTAGGGGAAGAAGCAAGAAATTTTTTGTCGCGTCGCTGTACTAGAATAATTTGAAGGTCAAGCTGAACTTGTTGTACAAGAAGAATTGCCTATGGAGAAGGACAAGTACGAGGGTTCAACCAGTCTCTCTACTGGTGGAGGAAAATATTTTGCCATGATAAAAGTTTCACCCCCACCTAAGCAGACGAACTCAGACCGCCACCACCTTTTCCTCAAAGGTTGAAGAAGCATAACGAATATATCATATTCCACTACGATTCAGCTTTATGTGGAGAGCACATTAGATATGAGAGGACTACTACAAAGATCCTACAATTCAGATGTTCAAGATATAAAATGCCAGGGAAAAATATTTTGAAGGTGGAATTGTTATATATGTGGGGCATTTTGGTCATATTGGTGCTCTGATCAAACGCTACAAAACTGCCATATCAATTCAGGATGTTTTGCAGTTTTCATTCCTTCAACCCTCTTTAATTTTTTTGTCATGGCAAAAATTATTGTTATTTTTTTATTGTGTGTTTTGTTTTTCTTTTCTTTATTTCTTTATTTAGTTTTAATATTAGTTTTTTTAGAAGAATAAACTTCTAAACACGTGGACAAGGGTAAAGCCCCTATGGTAGCTGCACCCACATAGAAAGAAGACTCAGTTGGTGTTGACAAAAATGATGACATTGCTAATGATGTCCACCTATCTACACAAATGCCACGACAAATTGCAACACTCCTGGCCAAGCATCGCCTAAAGAGGACAACGAATCACATTTGCACTTCTCCACCTAAGGAATTTGAGTAAAACAACCCCACCACCATCAAAATGGATGTTAGTCAAGGTACCTTGCATTGCATTTCATCTTTAGTTTAGTTTTCATGCATTGAGGACAATGCATCCCTCAAGTTTGGGAGAGGTATTGTTCATACTTAGTCATTTGCATTGATAATGTTTTGTAGAATTTTTTATGGCATTAGTTAGGATCTGTAATGCCCCAAATATTGAATTAAGGACTTTATTAAAAGGATTTAAAATTTGATCATCTATCTAATTAATTGATAAAAAAAGGAGAATGATTTGGGAATAGTAGTTTAGACT